GTTGTCTCGCTGAGTGACAGTGGGGCACTTCATTCGTCCAAACTCTGGGCATCATGTAGGCTTTGACGATGATGTTACTGTGTTTGTGGGTTCCCTCTGCACTTATTAATAACCTCATTTGGACCTTTGTCCTGAACCTCCAATTGGGCTTCACTTTTTGGACTATTCAATTTAGGTTGTATTTTTAGTATGTCAACAATTCTACATATAAACTAAAATTATTTTATTATTTTTTAACTACACATTCTCAAAAAAATCATCATTCAAAAAAATGATCACCAAACAATGGTTTAATAGAATCCACGTTTTTTCAACCGCAATTTCATTAATTTTTATCAAAAATTTAATAAAAATCTAATTTTAATCACTAACAATCCTGGCGTTATCATGGGAAATGATAATACAACTGTGTATTCAATTCATCAATAATACAAAAGTGGGATCCGTCATATTGTTAATTTGAACTTCCGAGTGCCACGTGTCCAGCGAGGCTAGAGTCGTAGTTCCCGTGTCGCAATTGGATGTTTTAACACTTTGAAACCCAACTATTTCCTTTTCCCTTTGATCTCTACGATCCACGTCTCCTTTTGCTTCTCTCGTCTCTCCTCAAGAGGTTAGCTTTATCTGCATCTCTTCAATTCTTCTATACTTCATTAGCATCATTGCTGTTTGGAAAACCCACGTTTTCTTTTTCACGGCACATTCAACAATTGCAATTTATTGAAATCTATTTTTAGATTTTGCAATATGGGCAGGGTTTTATTACTTTGTTGGGTACGTTCTTTATTATTTCTCCTTTTTCTGTTTCTTTTTCTTTGCCATTGATTCTTACAATAAATGGTTTCTTGTTCTGGTAGAGTCGATGTTCTCTCTCTTTATTGAATTGACTGAATTATGATATGGGTCCAGGGGATATTAGAAGAGTGTTGTTGTTACTCATATAAATAATCATAAAATAAACATACCTCGTGGCAAACGGGCGACCCGATTCTATGCGTGTCGAAGCGAACCCAACCCAAAAGCTGCTCATCTGATCCCCTGTTGGCAGAGGACTCCAGCATAAACTCATCTATGGAGAGGCGGTAAGTCAACTAACAGCATACCTAATGAAGTGATTAACAAGACAACACACTGTCAATGCCGCCTCTGCACACCTACATGGTCAAATCCTAAGTCGTGAAGATAAGGGGATCTCAGTATTAATGGTTTGATTGATTGATTGATTGACACTAATAAGAACATTAGATCTTCTACCATTGGACGGACCTCATACACTCGACATTAGATATAAAAACCCACACTCCATACGTTAAGAGGCTAATGCAAGCTTACACATTTAAAGTAAACCTTGATTCTCCCTACTACACCCGAAGGCCGACCCCTTTTTATGCACCAAACAACCAAAAACAGCAACTTACTAAATATTTTGGATCATTCCCGTCATTGATTCATCTGAGAAACGGGTGATTTGAGTCATAAACGTATTGGGATCTAAGCTTACGTGGATATTTGTTATTTGATGTCAACGTCTGTGAAGTCTGATTCATTCTGTCTGTATGAATTTGTGATGCGTGTAATCTGCTATGCACTTGTGCTTTTCTTGCAAGGACATTGTTGCCAAATTAATTTGTGCATCCTGATTGCCT